GGGAGATAACTGCATTAGGATAGCGATAAATATTTAATCTCTTGATGTGCTCTACAATTAATACAAGTTTTCTTTTAAAAAACTTTGACAAGTTCCAAAGAAAACATGTCAGGTACTCAATATGAAGCCTGAAGATGAAACAAGATGAAAGTGCTATCTAATTTGTTTGAATCCTTTTCATGTGCATGTAAATTGAATCTAAGGGATAAACAGGTAGGACTCAGAACGTCAGACTGAATTACTGGTTAAGCAAAAGTGTTTGTAGTTTTGCAGGGTGGAGAACAACAACAGTCAAACACACAGCCTCGCTCACAAGTTGGATATTTAAAACAGAAAAAACATACAGATAACCTTTATCTGTATAACATTATCCATACCCCTGAACGATTTAGGTTTACAAAAATATTTTAATTGCATACAGACATATCTCGTTTCATCAATGTAGAACCTGTGTAAGAAGCTAAGATTAATGGCAGGAAGACCTTCCAGTTTCCAATAAATGGGAGATTTTCATCAAAGAAAAAAATTCAAAATACGAAGAGAAATATTCAAACAGGCAAAAAAGATGGTCACCAATAAGAAAATGTCTGTAATGCCATTAAAGATTTTTCTCAAGGATTACAGAGAAGGTTTTGACATTTCATTTTGTAATTAAAGTAGTAAAAGAGATCAGTATGTTTCTTAATTTACATTCCTTAAACATCCTTTCATTAATTAAATAACTGTTTTTATGTAGTGATGATCTACAGCAAAGGTTTTCAAAGAGGAATGATGAGTTTTTAAAAAATGATCTGCTTCATTCCAACAGAAAGAAAGCTGCCAGAAAAATGCAGCTCTATCTTTGTTTTACTTGATTGTAATAATTTGTTTTTATGTTTGTACAATATTTATTTTGATGAAATTTGCATGTTCATGATCCTACAGTTTAAGAATTATGCTGAATGACCATGAGTTTTTATTATGCAAAAGCATTGTTTTTATGACTTATTATTAGAAAAGTAAAACATTTTTGCTTTTGGCAAACTCTAAGTTTACTGAATCTGATCTCATTGAAAGGCTGAGTTTTCCGTTTCACATTGAAAGTTTACCCAAACTCTGTTTCTGTTACCATAGCAACATTCTCCCCAGAGCTAACCTGGTCGGGAGCAGGTTTTGCTCAGAAAACTCAGAGTGTCCTCTGTTTTTCTCTTGTAAATTTGTATGAACAATAAATCAGTCACAAGGTCCAGTAAAGACATTAGGTGTTAAAAACACAAACATAGTTTTTCCTTCAGACAAGGATCCAATTAAAGAATAAGTGGCATTAATTGATGTTGAATTAAATATTTATACGGAAAGGGTTCTCAGACCGCATATAGATGTCCTTTCTATTCAGAAAGTTATCTTAATGAGGGCTACCGTTTAACATCACAATCCATCATATACATCCAGGACCTTATCCATCACCACATTTGCAGCATTGCAGATTTCTATAACAGGTATTTAACTGAACCTGACTTGATGTGTAACAGCATTATAGAAAACAACTGTGCAGTCAAACAGCCACTTAGTATTTACTGTGTGATGGAATACAGAAATAAAATGAGGGGAAAGCCCATGATATCCCTAATGTATGTATGATATCCCTAATGAGTTGTTAATAAGCCTTTGGATTAATTTTTGCTGTAATGTATTTTCCTGAGAAAGTTCACTGTTTTCAAGTTGGTCTTTTTATGAAAAATGGATCACAATGGTTTGCCCTAGTATTTTGCCTTAGAGGAGGCATTGTGCTGCTTTCCGGACATAAAGATGTGATTGACTTTCTCACTCCTCTGTTCTGGAATTTCTTTAGATGTTGGCAAGATAATCTATAGAGAATATTTATTTATTTAGATATAGAGTTTTATTTTGACAAGACCAAATTGCTTTGGTGTTACAAATTAGTTCTTTTTGAGCAGTTTGATATAAAACTGTATCAGTCTCTACAATAGGGGTCCCTCCTATTAGTTGAAAAAAAAAAAACATTGTTCTTTGGTATGTTATTCAGATTTCCTGTAAAAGAAAGAATAATAATCCTTTTTTAAACCTTTTTTTTTCATCATAAAGAGCACTCCTCACTTTTTAAATTCTTCAGGAGTGTAATTATTTTGTTCCAGTTCTGTCTGAAATCCCAGAAAATATTTTCTGGATTAGATGTGTATCTACCCAAAACACATATTAAGGTTAAGGCCTTAGACAGTTTACATGTACAGCACAGAGGGTGATGTATTAGGTCATCTTAATTCCAACATTAACAGGTTCATTTCACTGCCTTTTAAATTTTGCTTGAAATTTTTTTATTTGCAGACTCCTCTAACTTTTGGAATTAATTTCTATTGAAAAAAACTGTATCAATAAATATTTAAACGCATTATATCTCTTCATAATACCGCTGTAGTGGTCCTCTGGGACAAAAGACCTATGAGCCTATAGGCCTATTTAAATTATAATAAATAAATAGAGATTCACTAATTTATTGTCATATACACTTCAGTGCACGCAACCAGGGTCTGTAACACACAGACATCATTCATCACATTAATTATTATTCAGTTATCAACTTCACAATAAAACACTTTTCAGTGGCTCTATGCCAATTTGAAAAGCTGGCATTTATGAAGGGGTTGTCTTTTTTGAATTTGTCTCTTTTTTTCAAACTTTTTTCAGATGAATGAAACACAAAATATAATAAATAGTCTCTTCTACATAATGTAGCCACTGCTATCTAACAAACTAAGTCAGTGCCACAGAACGTGAGAACGTTCATTGCTTAAAAGCGGTGCAGGAAATTTGAAAATGAAGGATGTTGGCTGGAAGGGCTTGTCTAATCCAGTCAGGCAAGCTTAGGTTGCGGGTGCTGAGCCTGTGCCTGCCGGGGACACTGCTATCAGAGGCACAGTCTCCTCACTCCGGCTTCTCTTCCTTGTTGTGGTTGCGGTACTAGTGTTCTTCTTCATTTATTGTGGTTTTCCAAAAACTTCTGTTGCCGCAAGCTGGATACCTCATTACTCAGGGACCACTAGCTTGCTTTGACGTTGCCATGAAAACGTAACTTCCGTGAACTTGTGCTGATCAGGCCTCAAAATAATTCAAATAAAATCAAAATACATGTAATAGTAAATTTTAAAAAGGTCAAAATCATTTCCCAAAATATTCAAAAGAAAGTTCTAAATTGTGCAAGTATTTTAATATATTTTTTAAATCTCCATCTCACCAATAGGGGGTGCTGCAGCACCCTCAGCAGCCCCACTTCCCGCGGCCATTACAGTGATGCACAGACATGATATATCTAAACATTATCTATGCATGCTCCACAAAGTGTACCTCAAGGTCCTATCAAAACAACAGAAGTACATTTTAAAAGTTGCTGTATTTCTTTGTAATTATGAGGGAATTGTTTTTGATCAACAATTGTTGATCTTTGATAACTAATCAAAACTATATTAGAATGTGATGCTTTAACAAAATCCCAGTAAAACATGGAATGGCCTGAAATAAAACACTGTTTATTATCATTATTATTCAATATAGACAATATAACCTTGGTGTTACCTGAGTAAGATTTAAAGGTATCAAATGTAAATACTTCCCAAGCCTTGGTTGTACATTTTCTAACCAGGAAATTTATTAGGAACACCTTCCTGGATGGTTTTCCAATTTTACATCATAGCACCATAACGCAGCAGCAGATCTGTCTGCAGAACATCCATATATAACTTACAAAAATTGCTTGTTGCATTAAGACCTTCTTGATGTGGAGGCCAATGGTGAAACGTAAACTAAACTGGTTTTCATGTTAAAGAAACCAGCACATGGTATACGCATACTTCCTGGTTCATGATGTTGCTGAAAGGAGCCATCAAAAGAGTTTAAGTTCATGACAAGATAAAAACTAATAGGTGGCCGGTTTGACCAATGCACGCTGTCTTCACTAAAAGCTGATCTTATTATTTGATGGTCTGCAATACAACAACCAAAATTCATTGTTAAATTACACCTGGCAAATATTTTTATTGTCTTTGTTTTTCCAGGCAAATAATTTTCTTATCATCATTCTGTCAGCTAATGGTGACATCGTTTCATTGGCGTTCTCGAGAACATCTCTAGCAAACTACACAAAGTAACTCCTTGTTTTACTTTACATTTTGTTTTCCCTTGATTTCCCATTAATATGCATACATAAAGAAAGCAATTATGAAATTATTTTAAAATGGAACGTATGTTTCTTGTCAGGGATTGTCTTTACAGGTCCCAAGTATAAAAGTGGTGCCTATGATAATAAAACAAAGCTTTGTCTAAGTCTAAAAAAGCATCAACTACTTACCAAGTCATCTATATGGTAAACATCAAACAAGAAGTAAAAAAAAAAGGGAAGCAAGAGAGAAAACGACAGGCTGCCCATTCTTTATCTAAAACAAACACCATAAAACACATGCTTGCATCGTCTTCTGAAGAGAATCATAAGAAAAGCCTAACTACTAAAAAACTTTGTTAGGTCGTATCCCAATTTGCAGCTCAGACACACTCCAGTCCCAATATCTCTTCAGTTCTAACTTTATGTGTTGATTCTCAACTCTCAGCTTTCACTCAAATTAAGCCTTTACACCTCGGTCTGAGGAGAGCTTGCAAAAAAACCTGAAAAAAACAACTTTTACAGCAGTATTGGAGTGTGGAAAGTAGTCTGTCATGAATACAGAACAGTGTGAAGCAGCAAGCACTCCATCTAGTGGATTAACAGTATCAACAACTAGATAGAAAAACTTCCTTTTCTGGAAGTATTTTTACCTCGTGGGCTCCGTTCGGCCCAATCTACATGATGATCTTTAGATTTAGGTTTGACTTGAATGAAAACAGCTGTTATCAATGATGCACAAGTCTAGTCAACACATACAGATGAAATTGCCCATGCAACCATTGAAATTCTTTCCAGTAAACTTGGTTTGGTGTTTAGTCTCAGCAGCAGGAAGCTTTGGGCTGCTTACCGCTCTCTGTGGAAATCTGGCTGTGGAACTCTGGAAACTGGGTTTCGACTGGAACGCTGATGGTGCGTCGCAGAAGATGGGCCCTGGCTGACGCAACTCGCCTCCCCTGCAAAAACAGACAATCTCTAAGAGTTTGAGGCAGATAGAACTGTCAATCAATCCAACAAAAATGAGAGAAGAGTACCAAACAAACAAAAGCTAAATAGCATACACTTAAATAATATATCACACATTGAACAGGGCCCTTATCTCTATAGCTGTGGTTATTCTGATCATTGTGTTAAATATTGTATAGGGTTGACATCTCACAATAGCTGTTGTAACCTTGATAAGTGAGTGTCTGTTGTTCCAAGTAGAACAGGCATTAGCAGCGCATCAATCTGTGCCAACCTCTTTTCTTTCTGTAGCCTACATTGTAAATGTTTGGCTCCAAATGATTAAATAGACAAAAGGAAAGGGAGGGCTTTGAAGAAAGAAAGGTCTGGTGTCCTCCACTTGCGGTGATAATGGCTTATCGAACCCGCTCACGTCTCTAGACTCATTGCAGCACCCTGTCTGCCTTGTTTTCTCACGTACTCTGATACGACTGTCAGAGTATCTCTGTCTCCATCTGATCCTTTCCGTCATTCTCTTGTATGTATCAGGGGAAAAAGCCTTCTCCCTAGTATCGTTTTTTTTCTGCAGCTTTCAACCTAGATGTCAAAATAATCTGATCTAACACACAAAAGCGGATCATGGCATTACTGTATTATCATAGTGTGTATTCACAACCCGTGAACTAAGGTCATGCTGGTGTCCGCAGGGTTGGCACAACTAGAAAATTGACGTTTTTCTAAGGAGGATTACATTCAGAGAAACTGAGAATGTTAATTTTCAGGTCTTCTTTCAGATTCCTAACTAAAGGTCAGCATATACTCTGACTGGGTCACTCAAACATACCTAGATCTAGCTAAATAGCTATAATAGAATGCCATTGTACTTGTTAATCTAGGGTCCTTGTCTCAAAACTTTTGCTGTCATGTGCTCTGACCAGCTTATCATAACTTGGGTGCCTTTTTTGTGTAATGCTTTCCTTGCTCAGCATATCGGTCCAGTTAGCGAGGCCATTTCTTTGTTCACAGGTCTGTCTTACCTTTGATATTTTCAGATGAATGATTGAACCTGTTTTCAAAACCTAATTTATTGTTTCATAACCTAATTTTGATTTAGCTCCCCCACAATATTCTCCCTGTAGCTGCTGTCTTCCTTGGTCATCATGTTTGTTTTCTGGTGTTCTCTAACAAGCTTCTTATGCTCTCTTAGAATAATTAGACTTAATTTAATTACAGATGGGTGAACTTTATTTATTTAGTGACCTATGTGCGTAGGTTTTACTGGAGTTTAGTGACAGAGGCATTTAAGTAAAGGGACTGAATACAAATAGACAATATTTTTAGAATAAATGTTTAGTTGTTTTACTTTTAAAAAAATTCTTTGTAAAGAATAATATGTGATCAAAGTGGGATCCCTGCTTTTTGGAGAGTCAATTATTTGACACTCCCAAAAGCAAATAATTGACACTTGTACAATCAAGAGTCAATTATAAATGGTAAATTCACATCATAGCAGCACGCATATAGCCAATTTTCAAAGAAAGACAAATTACACAAGCAGAACAGATTTCTATTATACATTCTACATTATTTTACACATATATATATATTTTTTCTTAAAATGCATCCAAACTTTTTTATATATATATATATATATATAAAAAAAAGTTTGGATGCATTTTAAGAAAAGTTTAACTTTTTGTAAGTATCTCACAGAAAAGTTTGTGGTTATAATGGGAACAGGGTGAAAAAGATCAAAGTGGAAATACTCCTGACAAAAGCCTCTAAGGACTATAAAGCGCAGTGAGCCTCCCGGTTAAATCAGCACTACTTTAAGCAGATTTTAGAATTTATTTGGCTTTTTTTATTATAATTAGGGGTTTCATATTCAATTATTCATTGTATAATACATTATTCATTCTTCATACTTGGTGACAGAGTAATAATTGGTCTAAAAGTCTAAGTGAACCCTACATTCCCAGGCTTGAAGTAATAAAAGGGTGGGGAAAACATATATCTGACTATGTAACGTGAAATTAATGATTTGAGATCATTTGGTTCTGATTCATAACTAAGACAGTAGAATGATAAATATGTCCCTGAGATTAATTAAGAAAAACTGCGTCAAAAATGAACAGGTGAAAACAAATGTTAGGAATAGAAGACTAGACATCAGTATAATGCACTGCACTGTTATCATTACTGTAAGGGTGTGCAGCCAAAACCAGGTGAGATGTATGTCATGCTGGTTAATGTTTTACGTTAATATCCTAGTTTATTATTAGAATAAACAAGAGAGACAGGAAGAATGTGTTGGGTTTCCATGCATAAATGCATTATATATTAATACAATTCAAATATTATGCAGTGTGTTTACTGTTATCTTTGCAGTTTTTATGCAGAGTAACAATCCTTGATTTAGCAGTAGCTCCTGTAACCAAATATGATCCCTCATTGCTGTTTAAATTTTTGCAGAGAAGCACATGAAGAACAAGCTCACACTAGATGGATAATTAGCCCACAGACATGGTGCTGCAGATGAGAAATAACTACTGTTAAGAGTCAATGTTAGATTTAGAAAAGTTATATTAATTAAGGCAGAGTGCTAATACTCCTTTAATTGCCACAGTGTTGCTGTTCCTGTTTTTGTACCATCAGGTGTACTTCTAAACAGAAAACACACTTAGCCTTTTATGTAGGGTAGGACAGCATAAGTAGTAATCTCTTTTTACCCAGCTGACAGGCAGTGTGCAGCAGGAGCAGGTGGTGGGACAGGGCAGAGCTTCACTACTCTGTGCTTTATATGGCCACAGAAAGCTCTGATTCCTCCAGTATATTGTCTCATATCTCCTTTATAAGACATTAGAGATTAACAACCTGTGAGCTTTTTAAAAAGCTCACTAGATGTCCTGTCTACTACCGTATTTTCTGGACTATAAGCCACTACTTTTTTCCCACACTTGGAAACATGCGGCTTATGGTGCGGCTTTTCTGCAGATCTTACCCACCACCAGAGGGGGAAGTCAAAGTTGGAAATCAAAGAATAAGGGGCTTATTATTTAATTTAGCACAAGAACATGCTAGCAACTAGCAGCAGGCAAGAGGGAGAACAAACGTCCACAGTTCACACATTTGAAATTTATTTGCCGCATTGAAGCTGCTGAAACAATGAAGGGATTGGGCTCAACTCCTGCAGAGCTGAAATAAAGAGCCGTCAAAGCCCCGTCTTTCAGTAAAAGCTCTTACTGCTGCGAACCAACAAGCTAACGGGAGATAGCATTCTACGTGGCTACTTTGGGATCTACAGGTGCTGGTCATAAAATTAGAATATCATGAAAAAGTAGATTGATTTCAGTAATTCCATTTAAAAAGTGAAACTTGTATATTATATTCATACATTACATACAAACTCATATATTTCAGATGTTTATTTTGTTTAATTTTGATGATTACAAATGACAACAAATGAAAATCTCAAATTCATCATATCAGAAAATTAGAATATTGTGAAAAGGTTCAAAATTGATGGCCCCTGGTGCCACACTCTAATCAGCTAATTAACTCAAACCACCTGCAAAAGCCTTTAAATGGTCTTTCAGTCTAGTTCTATAGGCTACACAATCATGGGGAAGACTGCTGACTTGACAGTTGTCCAAAAGACGACCATTGACGCCTTGCACAAGGAGGGCAAGACACAAAAGGTCATCGCTATAGAGGCTGGCTGTTCACAGAGCTCAGTGTCCAAGCACATTAATAGAGAGGCGAAGGGAAGGAAAAGATGTGGTTGAAAAAAGTGTACAAGCAAGAGAGATAACCGCACCCTGGAGAGGATTGTGAAACAAAACCCATTCAAAAATGTGGGGGAGATTCACAAAGAGTGGACTGCAGCTGGAGTGAGTGCTTCAAGAACCACCACACACAGACGTAAGAAAGACATGGGTTTCTGCTGTCGCATTCCTTGTGTCAAGCCACTCTTGAACCACAGACAGCGTCAGAAGCGTCTAAAGAGAAACAGGACTGGACTGCTGGTGAGTGGTCCAAAGTCATGTTCTCTGATGAAAGTAAATTTTGCATTTCCTTTGGAAATCAAGGTCCCAGAGTCTGGAGGAAAAGAAGAGAGGCACTTCATCCACGTTGCTTGAAGTCCAGTGTAAAGTTTCCACAGTCAGTGATGGTTTGGGGTGCCATGTCATCTGCTGGTGTTGGTCCATTGTGTTTTCTGAGATCCAGGGTCAACGCAGCCACATACCAGGAAGTTTTAGAGCACTTCATGCTTCCTGCAGCTGACCAACTTTTTGGAGATGCAGATTTCATTTTCCAACAGGACTTGGCACCTGCACACAGTGCCAAAGCTACCAGTACCTGGTTGAAGGACCATGGTATCCCTGTTCTTAATTGGCCAGCAAACTCTCCTGACCTTAACCCCATAGAAAATCTATGGGGTATTGTGAAGAAGAAGATGCAATACACCAGACCCAACAATTCAGAAGAGCTAAAAGCCACTATTAGAGCAACCTGGGCTATCATAACACCTGAGCAGTGCCACAGACTGATCGACTCCATGCCACGCCGCATTGCTGCAGTAATACAGGCCAAAGGAGGCCCAACTAAATACTGAGTGCTGTACATGCTCATACTTTTCATGTTCATACTTTTCAGTTGGCCAACATTTCTATAAATCTTTTGTTTTTATTGGTCTTCAGTAATATTCTAATTTTCTGATATGATGAATTTGAGATTTTCATTTGTTGTCATTTGTAATCATCAAAATTAAACAAAATAAACATCTGAAATATATGAGTTTGTATGTAATGTATGAATATAATATACAAGTTTCACTTTTTAAATGGAATTACTGAAATCAATCTACTTTTTCATGATATTGTAATTTTATGACCAGCACCTGTAGAGCTCCCCCTACAGGTTTGGTGGGAGACAGTTCAGTAGATATCAGCTGCTTATAGCCAGGTGTGGCTTATTCAATTCAATTCAGTTTATTTGTATAGCACCAATTAACAACACATGTCATCTCAAGGCACTTTATACTTCACCAGATCATATAGTCAAATCGATTCAAAGTTTTCTATCTAAGGAAAACCAGTTGATTGCATTGACTCGGATGCAATCCCTCACACTAAGCATGCTTGTAGCAACAGTTGAGAGGAAAAACTCTCTTTAAACAGGAAGAATCCTCCAGCAGAACCAGGCTCAGTGTGAGCGGCAATCTGCTGAGGCCGACTGGGGTTCACAGTGACAATCAGAGAAACAGGACACTGGAAAAACAGGCCAATCTCCAACATCTATAAACAAGGGTGTTGATGGCAGCAGCACAGTTGATATATGCACATTTCCAGTTTTCTCCAAAAATTAAGTGGGTGTGGCTTATAGTTAGGTGCGCTCCATAGCGTGGAAAATACGGTACCAAAAACAGAGCAATTACAAATGATTGAAGCATGTTACTAAAAGGCAGCTGACATAAAGTACACAAATTTGACATATAGCTATTGAGCATCGGAGATGATTTCATTCTCCTATTACTTTAACTTAAAGAAGAAATATATTATGTCCACTATGATTAGGATTTTAGCCATCTTGTTTGGTTCTCTGTTAACAAAACAGAAAGAACTTAGAGATTCACACCATCCAAAGGCTTTTGAGGAAACAGCTTTTTTTTAAAAGGATCTCTCTGACAGGCAAAATGATATATCTATGAAAAATTAAACAGTATTGGATGATAGCAAATCTGTTGTGAGAAGTCATTAATTTTGGTTAGTACACTTGACCTAATTAATTCCTATCACGTATTGCCTTTAATCATTTCGGCGCTTCAGATTTTACCATAAATAATGAGATTTTTGATGAATACTTACTTTCTTTGCCTGTATCCTGACTGTATTTAATTCAAACTCAAAAGTGAAAAGGAAGTAATAATGTGGAGGAGTATGTCAAATTCATATAAAAAAAATCCGCACTTCTGACAAAAATGAGACACAATAGTGATACAAAGGGACACAACAGATGAGAGACTGTGCTGTCTGCTCTCACCGCCTCCTCTCCATCGAGAAGCAGCATCTGACGGTCAGCAACCACAGAGCACTTTGGGTTCCACGCAGTTCTCTCTTCATATGAATGTCCGCGTGACATCCGCTGTTGTGGCGGACGCCGTAGATCTAAAGTAAAAGAAGAAAAGAAAAGAATTCACAAAGAAGAAGGACAGTGTATGTTAAGCGAAAGAAGAAAGCAGAAAAACTTATTTTAGCCAAGATTTCTGCATCATCCAATTAAGAATTTACCAACAGGAATTAATTATTCTGAAAGGATTATGTTTAGTTGTTCATTTTTCTCTTGACAAGACACCAGAACCTCAGCTCTTATGGTCCTTGATTGAAAATACATATTTTTATCGTTAATAATGTGCTAAGTTATATGGAGCACTGGAGGTTGGAGACCTGGCTCCTCTGAGAGAATGTGATAAGTAGTTACAGTTTGAATAAACCTTTAACATCACTTGTGTTTTATTGAAATATTTAGTCACTGATCACCTTTATTATATTGCTTTTCTAATTCTGTATTTTAAAACTCTGCTTACAACCTTTTTAGCACAAATACAAACTCCAGTCCTTTCTTTTCAAGTCTTAAAGTTTTGATCAGGACTAACATGATAAAGTTTGTTATTATAATACCAAAAATCAATGTCATTATTATATCTGAATCAAAGGATACACTAAAATATAAAATATTTTAGCATAGCCTTTGGGATGCAATAAATCTTTTAAAACCATTTTCCTTCAGACGATCTAAAATAGGAGTGTCTTTATAAACATGAACAGTCCTTTAATTATTATAATTATCATCATTTTATCATTGCATTCTAATCAGATCTTTTGGTAAGGTCTTTTTAAGTTGTCTTTTCTTTGTGCTTAAGCCATTCAGAGGTGGTCTTACTCATGACTACTTAAACTTGAGGTCGTATGGATGAATTTTGTTATCTTTTTTTTTTTTTTTGCAGTGACAAGAATCAATTCAGGCAAAAGAAGGAATATATCCACCAACTATCATCCTACAGCCTGCATATTTGCCTGTTTTCTAAGATGCTGTGTCTCTTTTGCATCATATTTTCTCCAGCATCTAAAGAAGAACTTTAAGGTAAGGCAAAAAAAAAAAAAAAAACTTAAGCTAATCTTTGAAAATATCCTTCACCAAACATAAAATAAACATTCACTTTTTCTTGGAAAATGCTACTTTTAAAAAGATAAAATGTTTTCTTATTATGTTATAATAGTGATCCATAGAAAACATATGTAGATATAGAAAAACATAAATAAGTAATGTAAAACCATGTTATAATGCAATGTATTCACATGAAAGCTGCTCATTCAATTCTCTTCAGCTTTTCTTTTCAGCAGTGCAGTTCCGTATTTTTCTTCCCTCTGGCTACATTCATCCACGAGCTGCTTACTGTACAGTATAATTTCTTTTCTATGTTATTCTCAAACCTTCTCACATTTTCCAGATATAAAGAGGGAAAACGATGAATGTGCATGGATTCAAGATGATGAAATTGTGTATCATAAGATGGCGAAACTTTCTGCCGTTACTCTTGCAAAGACAGATTCATATCATATCATTATAGAGATAAAAATTGATCTGTCCAAATTATTATATGTAACTAGATACAAATACATCTAAAACAACAAGACCAATTAAACCTGTGGAAATATCTTTTTTATTTAGCTTAACTTTTTCTTACTATTATTGTGGAAAAAAGGTTAAAACTTTTCAATGCTTGTCCTATGAGACCAAATGCTTTGGAAGTACCTAGACTAATGAAACACAGCTTTTGCTACAACTGTTATTGTCAACTACATGTCAGCTTGAAGAAATAATGACGCCACATATTTTCCTTGCAGATTATATTTTAAATTCAGAACAACTCCCAGCTAAAACTAAAGTATTGGAAAATATCTCTTTATTTATCTCTATATTGCCTAATGTCATATATTAACAGATATAGTTTGCAAACTAAGAGCAGCAAGGCTGACCTGCCGAACTCCAGACTCTGTCTAAGCAAACAACCCAACTAATCAATCAGCTGATATCAGCTTTTTATATATATTACTGTTTGGAGAGCAGAACCGGTCTAGAGTAAAATATCCTGCAATGAAGCACTTGAAAACTACCACAATATTCAAAGATGCTTACATGTTGTTGTTGTTTTTTTTATTGTTTTTATATCTGAGTCAACAGAAACAGAAAGAATAATCTTTGCCCATTTTAAATGAAGCCATTGGATTTGTGTTTTTTGTGTGCTAAGTTTCCATTGGGTCCCTGATAATTGCCCTTAAAGGACCTTGGCCAGGCAAAACACATTTTTGAGCTTTTAACTGAATCTAATATATTTTTTCGCATTGGCCACTCTGCCCTTTCCTCATCAGCGAGATGCTGTGTGGCATGGTCCCATCACCTTTGCTCAAAGTTAAGACTAAGTGTCCTTTTTTAGTAGCTAATCTGCACAGTCACAGCAACTGCCCCTTGCCCAGCTAATGTCTAAGTAGGAAAAAAGTGAAAGGTCTATTGTTTTGTCCTGGTTCCATAAAGAAGAGCTTATATATGAACATAATGGAATGCAGTATTTCATGAAGTTAGCCCTTCCTGGTAAGATCTGGCATCTTTACAGATGTGTATTTTCCAATCCAAGCAACTTCTTGTGTACCCAATTAGCTTTAAAGAATATAAAGATGACAACATAATTAAGCAGGAAAGCTGGACTGCAAAGAATGCAATCCACACACATAATGCTCATTATACCATATACACTGAGAACATTCATGGTCTCTTAGGGTCAAGCAACACCTCTGTTTGGTATTTATTCATAATGATTCTTATTGTTATGAAGTTAACATTCCATTTCATTAAAGGGAAACCAGTATACTTAACCCATTACATATGCTCTCAATAAACCAGTATGACCATAAACAGAATCTGCAACATTTGCTATTGATACCTGGGGCTACATATTCCCAAGGTGAAATGAATTATGATGAAGAAGATTAAAATATTGGAATTTTTCAGTGGTATTTCTTTATGAGCTTAGCTGTGCCTCTTTGTCTCTCTTTGTTCTACACGTAAGCTCCCGACAACTGTGTTTGTCTCTAAATTTGAGATTTAGAGCTAATTAAATTCACACATCAAGTATGAATCTGTAGCTTTGTTGCTTTTGGGAAGAAAAAGAAATTAGAAAGGCAGAGCTCTGTCAGTCAGTGGACTTCCATCATTGTTTGACTCGTGTTTATTTGTCTTCCCTCATAAACCAAGAATTTTAGTTTTAGCTGATACTGCATAATATAGTTTAGTCAACACTGGTATTATAATCCTGTCTCCACAGAATTTGAGTCCAAAAAAGATAAGCATGAAGTCTATTTTAAAAACATGAGTGTAAGCTGATCTGCGAGTGTCAGTGTAAAGAAACCTACCATGCGTGTGCTACGGCATTAATTTGACTTAACTTAGGTGATGTTGCCATGATGATGGGTTTAACACAGCAGTGATGAAGACCACATTTACAAAAAACACTATTTCTCAGATTTCTTAGGTCTTATATTAATTCTTAGGACTACATGTGTTTCACATATGTCTAGCTGTAAGAATTATGGGCAACTGTTTTATATGTTGCTTTCTCTGTGTCTGAGAAATACACTAAAGGTGTGTATGCTCTTTTCACTTTAATAGGTTGTCACTACACTGCTTTATTTTATCATATTGTAAAATATTTTCATCTATGTCGGGCTTTCATAACAGTTTTAATAAAAACAAAGCTATTAGAGAACGAAGTAAAGATGTAAATAAGGCAGGTTCTTTAGAGTCCTAAAGGGCCAAGGTCAGGGGTCGGCAACCCAAAGTGCTCAAAGCACCATATTGGACCAAAAAAACAAAAAAAAATTATTCAGTCTGGAGCCGCAAAAAATGTAAAAGTCTTATATAAGCCTCGTATGGCAACACAGGCTCTAAGTGTATTATCCCACTATAGAAAGGGACTATGTGGGCTTAAATATATAATAAGAATTCATGATCAAATTTTTATCCTGGAAATGTCACATAGTCGCATGAGGTGTGGGAGGATCAGTAAACGCTCTCACCGCGCGCTGCTTCACCACAGTTAACCACACGGTTTTAGTTTTGTTACATTGATGAAATTATAGAAACACAATAAACAAATGTTTCTATGGTGGACGTGTTTCTGTTGGGAGGAGGTGATTGAGTCATAAGGAACCAAGCAGAACCTGACATCCATCAGAGAAGAGCTCTCTAACCCTGAAATCCCACATCCTCCATCACCAGCATTCCTTGGTGTGATTTATATTTTTAGGATTTGGGGAAAAAATGGAAGAAAGTTCACATCACAGCATCAGAGCGCTACCTGTTTGATCTGTGGATGCTTTTCCATCCTTGCAACAAAACTAGCAGCAGTAGTGGAGTTTGAAGATGAAATTCACTCCTTAAATCTATCTTTGTGCTCCTCTAATTTATCGAGAAGTTCTGCAATCGCACTTTTCTCTCACTCCCAGCTTGGTGTTCCGCTACATATTTAGCTTGCCTTCCCTGGAAATGCTTTTCCAATTTTAATTTTTTTATTTTTTGACAACTTTTCATTACAAAGCAAAAATGCAGGTAATCCTTCCTCACTGATAATGAAAGCAAATGATTTGTTCCATTCTTCAAATCCTCTTTTCTCATCAGCTATCTTCCTTTTTTCCCTTTGGAACACATGGCCTGAGACACACCTGCAGCTTTGTTTGCCTGGGACCGCGCTGCAGTGGTTTTCAAGTTATGACCACTGATCTCTATGGCTATGACACAAATTATTTCTTAAATGTATTTATTATACAAATGTTTACAGCATCGGAAAACATAATACATTTTTCTTTGACCTCCTGCACACCATATTAGAACATACATTTTTGAAAAAGCTCCAGCGGGCTGCAAGGGGGACGCTAAAGAGTCGGAGTCACGGGTTGCCAACCCCTTTGCAACATATGTCCAACTTTAACCAGACCCAGAGCAAGGTTTCAAAGTTGTAGAAGACCTCATCTCAAAAGAAACATACCCATTGGTTTTACAGTTACATAACTGATGTCTATAAAAAGCCCATATTAAAAAAGTCCTGTAAAGA